CGACCCATGAACCAAGAGGTCACTGGCTCGATTCCCAGTCAGGGCATATGCCTGGGTTTCAGGCTCCATCCCCAGTGGGGGCCGTGCATCAATGATTCTCTCTCAGCAGTGATGTTTCCAACTCTCTCCCCCTCTCCCTTCCTCTCTCTCTCTCTCAAATCAATTTTTTAAGAAAGCTCTATGCTAGGTGCTGGGGAACCAGCAGAGATGAACCAGGTGAGGTTTCCTCTTTCCTGGAGCCAACAGACTAGGGAGAGAGACAGCAACAAGCTGGTAGACAAAGAAATAAACGACGCAGTTGCAAGCAGCATGAGAGTCTGTGAAGACTATAAATCCTGGAGGGAGAGGTTTTGATATATAGGATTTGAGGCCTAAAGTACAGGAAGGAGGCAGCCTTGGGGAGGTTTTGGGGTGGCCTGGCAGGCCCGAGGGGGAGTGCTGCACCACAGAAAGGAGCTAGTGCAGAGGGGCAGGCCTTGCGGCCACACCGAAGACTTGAGCCTTCACTCTGTGTGAGGTGGGAGCCACGGAGGGTTCAGGCAGAGGAGGGATCTCGTTGGACTCAGGGGTTGCAGGAGGGTGGGGGAGGCAAGAAGGAAGTAGAGACCAGTGGGGAGGCCACTGTAATGGTCTGGTGAGAGGCGCTGGCAGCTGGGATTCAGGGGAGAAGTGGATACACCTTTTCATCTTTTAAAATGTTTGATTACAAATGACAAACATACAGAAAAGTGCTCGTCATAAGTGTACATACAGCTCAGTGAATTTCCGCAAAGTGAATAACCCTTGTCATGAGCACGAGTTCCAGGAGCACAGACCTGTGCTGGCGACCTGTAAGGACGGAGCCTACAGGATTTGCTGTGGGGCTGGTATGAGAGGAAGGCAGGCCCCAGAGAGGACCCCATGACGTTGACCTGAGCAACTGGAAGAAGGGAAGTGCTCCTGTCAGGGGCTGCCCGGGGGAGGGGGCCAGAGTTGAGTGGTGCGTATTTTGAGTTTGAGGTGCTTATTAGTGTCTAAGGGGAAATGTCAAGCAGGAAGATGATCACATGAGTCTGAAGTTCAAGGGGATGTTCTGGGCTGGAAACAATCTACATTCAGGGTTACTGTGCCCTGATTTGGATACGCAGGTTCGTTGTGGCCACAAGGGCCGTTTCCGTTTAGGTTGTAACGAGAAATAAATGAACCAGTTGGCGGAGTTGGGGATGGTGCTGACCTCTGATGCCTTCTGCCAGCCCCCCTCTGCCTGCTGACCCGGCTGCAGCCCCCCTCAGTCGGGGGCCCCATCTCCCCAGCTGAGCCCATCAGTCAAGCCTATAGCCAGGCAGAAGAATATGTCAGTGCTCCTGCAGACGGCTGTTAGTGATGCTGGGCCTGAGAGGGAGTGAGGGGCGGGGACACTGCCCTCCCGGCCCTGCTCTGTGCAGGGGGAAGAGCAAGGTCAGGGGAAGGTTCCTCCATGGGTCGGAGGGTACAGACGCTCTGTCAACTAGAGACACACCCACACGAACACGGTCACTGAGGGCTGGTGATCTTGGACAAGTCATTCTTTCTCTCTCAGCCTCGGCTTCCTCGTGATCCTGCCTTTGCTGACCTCCCAGGTCTGTTACAAGATTCAAAGGAAGCACCAGAGGGAGGGCTTCCCGCCATGATCATCTCCACAGGCACAAGCTGTGCTGTTTATTTGGTCCTCGTGCCCTGCGGGCACTCCCTCCCATTACCTCACGGACCTCTCCGGAAGTTCTGAGACAGGGACCTACAGTCCACTTCGCAGACAAGAAAACAGAGTCTGAGAGGGGTGAACAGTTTGCTGGAGGTCACGCGGGAATACCGGGAAGTGCCAGGATCTTAAACCAGGGCTGTGACATTCAATGCCAACTCTCCCCACACCCCCAACTGTCTGGGAGTCCAAACTGGAGCCTCTTGGCCAGCTGTTTCCGGTGGGGGCCGTGCAGTGCTTGTTCAGTCTAAAGCAGGCACAGGAGTCCTGTGACCAAAGCTCCTGCGTTCCTCCCCAGGTCACATGACCTGCTGGCCCTGACCCTCAGGAGTCTGCGGCTCTTCCATTGTCTATAGTCCAGGCCCATGTGATGTTGCTAAATCTAGTTTCTAGTCTTACACCTTCCACCATGCCTGGTAGCTTTGGGCACCCTGAGCCTGTTTCTCCTGTGAAATGGGGATGTGGGACTAGGTGATGTATCTATCAAGGAGGAGATTTATCAGTGAGCACGAAGATTCTGTGCGTGTAGGTTTGTGGAGGCAAGAACTTTAATGGAGAAGGCACTCAATGACATTTAATAATATCAACAATTATTTATTGACTAGAGGCCCGGTGCACAAAATTCATGCACAGGTAGAATCCCTAGACCTAGCCGGTGATCAGGGCCAACCAGGGCCTTCTGGCTGCTGGCTGGGGCCTTCTTTCATTCCATGCCACCCCCTGGTGGTCAGTGCATGTCATAGCGAGTGATGGAACTCCCAGTAGAACTTCAGAGGGGACAATTTGCATATTAGGCTTTTATGTATATAGATTATAATAAAATTAACAAGCACAAACAACTAAATGCTGTAAAAAAAAAAAAGAAAAGAAATAGGGCTGTAACTAAATTATCAATAACATATCTGTGTTCATGACATTAACATTTATTATTAGTGGTGGCTTATCATGCTCTTATAGTATGCCAGGTGCTGTGCTAAGAGCTTTCTATATATTACTTATCATCTCATGACAATACTGCCACATGGGAATTATTGAAACCATGATTCAAACTTTCACAACTTACATGTGGAGGAAGTTAAAATGGAAGCCAGTTGAGCCCAGGCCCTGTGCTAAGACATCTCACCGACTCGCTGGGGTGTAGTGGGTGGTAACTCCCCCTGGGAAGATGCTGTCGCATAGAAGGCAGATGTGAAATCCTGGGAGCTTCAGGGTGCCCTTTGGTCCCCTCACTTCTGTCTCTGTCCCTCACGCAGCTCCAGACCCTGGGCAGCCCTTTTAGCGACCCTGGCTTCTCAGCCCCTGCACTCCAGCTCAGCAGCCTGCCGCCTGCCGCTGTCTCCTTCAAGACCTGGCATGCCTTGGCTGACGGGGAGCGCCGTGCCGTGCCCAAGGGGCCTTCTTGGCCTTGACCGGGCACCTTCAGCTTGTGGGAGACAACCAGAGCTACCTGAACCCTGGCAGGCCTCTCCTGCTGGCTCAGCTGGGGCTGCGAGGCTCCAGGCCCACGGCCTGTGGGCAACATGGCTGCCATCGTGACTGCCCTGGGCCTGCCCATCCCCCCGAAGAGGACACTGCCGGGCTTGTCACCTGTGGGGCCTCAGGCTTCGAGAGGAAATGCCGAGGCTGTGTAGTGACCCAGGAATATGACCACTGGACAGGCCGAGCTGTGAGGGACTTGGCTCTGCTCAAGGGCAAGTACCCGGGAGAGAGGAGGCAGGACTTCCTGTCAGAGCTGCAACACTTCTGGCCTTTCTGCCTGCTGCTTGGCTAGCGGACAGGGTCAGTGTGCCATGTCATGGGAATACTTCCTGGGAACCAGCCTCAATTCCCTGGTGGCTGGGCCTTCCCAGGCCCATGGCCTCCCTTCCAGATCTGGTGGGAGGATGAGGCTATCATCCCGGCATCGGACTCCAGGGGGCTGGTGGCCGCCTCCTGGGTGGAGAGAAGCGCCGCTTTGAAGAGGCTTCACTCCCCCTCTCCTGGGAAGGACGTTGGCCTCCTTCCTGGGCTTTCCCGGGGCCGCCCTTCCGGTCATTGTGGGAGGTGCAGGGCGCAGGCTCTGCCTCGCTTCCTGGGGGGAGATGCGGAGGCTGTGGAGCAGACGGGCCTCTTCCTTTTGCTGGAGCTCATTTCCTCCCTGGTCTCCTCTTCTGACCGTGGCCACGGTGACAACTTCCTGTCTCCAGGGGCTTCACTTCCCCATCAATGGAGGTTCAATTCACATCTGTTTCCTGCTGGGGACACAGGCTGGTCCCGCTGGGGCCGGCATCCCTGACCCGGCTCTCAGGAGCCCACTGCCACTGCACTGTGGTGTTAGTGTGTCTGGGCCCAGGTGACACCCAGGATCCTGTTCTCCTCCAGGCATCTCCCATCTTCAACAACTGTATCTGCTGGTAACTTTTTATTTTTATTTTTAAAATATATTTTATTGATTTTGTGGAAGGGAGAGAGATAGTTAGAAACATAGATGAGAGAGAGTCATCAATCAGTTGCCTCTTGCACACCTCCCACTGGGGATGTGCCCGCGACCAAGGTACATGCCCCTGACCGGAATCGAACTTGGGACCCTTCAGTCCACAGGCTGACGCTCTATCCACTGAGCCAAACCGGTTTCAACTCTTTTTATTTTATTTTTTTTAACATTTTATTTACAAAAATTAATTTATTTTCAGAAGTGAAATTATTTTAAGGTGTCGATTGTTTTTCTTCACAGACCTGGCTTTGGAGGCACAGTAGGTGCAAGGACAGGGTGGAGGGAAGTGAAGGGGGAGGATGTAAAGGGAGGAGGGCAGCGGTGGGGTGGGAGGGGGGCAGCAGTGGATGGACTGGGGTGGGGTGGGGGGAGGGGGGAGGGAAACAGAGTGACCAGGTGTCCCTTCCTTGAGTTGAGGCTGAGCTGCACACAGGCTCGTGTGGGTCGAGAGGAGAGAAGAGTGAGGAGAAAAGGGAGGCAAGTGACCTCCAAGTCATGTGGGTGAAGGTGTGTGTGTGGGGGGGGGGGGGGGAGGACACCCAAGGGATGGAGGAAAGAGGGAGAAAGCAGGAGTATGACGGAACTGGGAAGTCACACACGGAGACGAGAAGGTCCCTGGAGAAGAGGAGAGACTGAACAACGCCGACAGGACAGAGGCGGAGAGATGGAGAGGGATGGGGAGACGGAGAGATGGAGGGAGATGGGGAGACGGAGAGGTGGAGAGAGATGGGGAGACAGAGAGATGGAGAGAGATGGAGAGGTGGAGAGATGGAGGCGGCTGGCGGGGGCGGCGGCGAGCTGCGGCCGGCCTCAGGCGGGGCCCCCGGGCACCAGCTGGCCCAGGTCGGCTTCGGTGCGGCTCACCCAGTCGCGGTAGAGGCCGCACACGCGGAGCCCCAGCAGCTTGGCGGGGAAGGCGCCGGCGGCGGCGGCTGCTGCTGCGGCGGCGGCGGCGGCGGGCTCGGGCCGGGGCTCGCGGGGCTCGGCGCCCAGCGCGGCCAGCACGGCCTCCAAGGCGGCGCCCAGCGCGCGGGCGCGGCGCGCGGCCTCCTCCAGGCGCCGCAGCAGGCGCGCGGCGCGCGGGTTCAGCTCGGCCTGCAGGCGGCGCACCGCGTCCAGCAGCGGCGGCAGCGCGGCCAGCGCCCCCGCGTCCAGCCGCAGGCGCTCGGGCAGCGGCAGCCCCGCGTGGCCCGCGCCCGGCGCGCTCAGCCCCGCCACCGGCGGCCGCGGCGGCGAGAAGCCGGGCCGCCCGAAGGGGTCCCCCTGGAGCTGCACCTGCGGAGACAGGCCGTCAGGGCCGGGACCGCCGCCCGGGGCTCCCTCCCCGCCCGCACAGGACAAGTCCCGTCTGTTTATGAGGACACAGAACTGCCAAAAAGTGACCTTCACACAGGCCTTTGTGTCCTCGTCTCTACAATGGCGATAACACTGTCAACCTCATAAGGTAGCTGCGAGCATGTCAGAAAGCCTGTCAGTCCCGGCCCGCCCCGGGAAAGGCACAGTAAACACCAGGGCAAGCATGTCAAACTCCCGATGACCCGGGCCAGGAAACAAGGTTTACGTTTATGTGGCCAAAAAATCAAAAGCTTCCATTTTCAGACATGCTGAATACAAAGGGCTGAAATAAATGGGTCATCGTGAACATAAAATCATAGAACATTTTAATAAAAATGAATCTTTTTTTCTTGAACATTAATTTACCAGACACTGAATGCCTGCACAAATTAATAAGCGTAACGCAAATAAACCTATTTTCCTTGTTCTCCAAAAGCGAAATATTTCCTGTTGCGAACACCAAACAAGTCAGTCCAAGACTAATGTGACAATTGACTGCTAAAATATTCGCTGCTACTATTAGTGGAGAGAAATGGTGCACCTGCGTGTAAGGTATGTAAGGGAAATGAATGCAACACGATTGTAGTAATCAGTCATTAGCAAACGTTGAAGTTTGTTATTAATAATTATGTATAACAGGATATTGTAAAGATTAAGTTACAAAATTTTTATTAAAATATTTCTTACATACTGTTATATTGGCTGGGCTGCAAAAATATTTGTGGTGGGTGACCCGTGGGCCGTGAGTTTGACATGCTTGCAGTAGGGTGCAAATCCTGTCTCCATTTACTAACTGTTCAGTTTCTTACAAAACCATTTCCCTTCTATGAGCCTCAGTCTCATCTATAGAATGGGGGTAGGGGTTGGGGGAGGGGGCAAGATAGTATGGAAGCTAGTCTTTTTCACACACCCCACCCCCTCTCCCACCTGCCTGGCACACAGCAGGGCTTCATGAATAACTAGCATATGAGTGAACAGAAAAAAGCTAACGGTGATATGTAATTTGTGAAACTGCTATACAATCCCATTTATCCTTTGCTAACATCTTGCCTCTGGTTCAGGCATTGTGCTTGCTGCTTTAAGCACACTATTCCTCATTTTCCCAATAATGGGTGTGATGTAATTATGGTGATTTTGTAAATGAGGACTCTGGGGCTGAAGAGGTACAGCGACTCGACCTGGGTCCTCCATCCAGGAAAGGGCAGAACGGGAATCGGAACGAAAGTTGGTAGGACGACAAAGCTGATTCTGTCATCCCACTACCTAATAATTGTTACTTCATTCTTTTCATGTTCTCATCCCTGCCCAAGGTCACAGTAAGACTGGCAGGCCACAGTCTGTCTGCTTCAAAACCACACCCTCCCTCCACTACAGTATAGAAATTTGGGGAAATTTCTTCTGTCCTTAGGCAGGCGCTCTACCCAACCAACGATACTGGCAGGCCTCCCTCCTTTGTAAAGGTCCCCCGGGGATGGAATTTTTGACCCAAACTGAAACGCCTTCTTGGCCTCTGCATAGCACAAGTAAGAGTTCATATCTCATCTTGTTCAACTGCCTCTTTTGACAGTTGGTGAGACCAAGGCCCATAGCAGTGAGGTGACAAACCCATACAGCCTGGAACCCAGCTTTCCTGACTCCCAGACCAGGGTTATCTAATGCTCAGGACGCCTGTGTTAAGCACCAAGAAGGGAGCCTCCAAGCTTAGGTGGATGAAGGGGCATTTGGGGAACAGACACGATCCTCCTGCCATTGCTGTGTGGCCGGGGCAAGTCACTGATCTCTCTTGGAGCCCCGATTTCTGCAGCTGGGAAATGCGGTTGAGAAAACAGATGCTCAGGTAACCCTATGATCTGTGTTTCCCTGATCCCCGGTCCCCCCACACACACACCCATCCCCACTCACATATTCCTGGAAGAGCTGCTCAGCATATTTGGTGAGGAGGCGGGCAAGGCTGTGTGTCTGATGGATCTTGGCCTCCAAGAGGGGAAGGGGTGAGACTGAGGAGTCAGCCTGGAAGTCTTCTGGTGGGAAAAGGGGGGAGGAATGAGGGCAGCCCCAACTCCTGCTCCTGACCACTTCAGGCTGGCCCTTTCTTCCCAAACCCAGAAGCTCAGCTCTGAACTCTCCAACGTTTAAGCCAGGCAGGCTCTGTCCCATTCCAACTGAGGGAAATGAGATACCAAACATTTTCCAAACGTTTTTTCTGCGAGAAATGTGTTCCCTGTTCTCAAATCACTGTTGAAATACTATTAAAGCTAAATTCAAACGCTGCCTCCTCAGTGCAGCCTTGGATTCACTCCTCCCTTTAATTAACTCCTTTCTTCTTCTTAAGGCCATTTGTTCATACTTTCAAGGTAGTTCTTTTAATGGCGCTTTTATGTGTGTGAACTGGCCTCATCGTGGGAGCCATTTGAGGGTAGGGCTTACATACTCTGTACCGCTGCTGTAATTGTTGTTGAAATTCAACATCTCTGAAACACAGCACTTCACACCGGAATGCGCCTTTCAGCCCATTTTACAGACTGGGAGACTTAAATCCCCTTCCCTCCCTGATAGCCTTTTTACGCAAGGCCCTGGGCACCAGACAGCATCAATTGAATCAGCGGCCCCGACTCCCTAAACACAAGCTGAAAGGTGGTGCCCGGAGGAAGCACTACATTTCCCAAGACGCCCCGCGCACAAGCCCAGGGCAGGCTGGGTAATGTAGTACTGGCTTCTCAACCCTGGCGCCCCGCCCCCGCCCCCACCCGCCTGAGGTTCCCACCGCCTATTCCTGTCGTTATCAGCCTGGACTTTCGTCGCTCGTAGTCATTCACTCTCTACTGTGGCCCAAAGACTTCCTCTGCTAACTCTGTCACTCTCCGAGCTCCGCTCGGATTCTCTGCCGGTTTTCAAAGAGGACCCAGGGTACAGCCTCAGCCACGACCCCAGGCCTCCCCCAGGGGGGACTCGAACCGGTTATCTAACCCCTGAGCCCACGTCCCCGAAGGTACAGCCCAGGCCTCCTCTCAACGCCGGCGCCAGCACCTTCCCACGCTCACCCACAGCTCACCGCTGTTACCTGACACCGGCCCTGCTCCCCCTCTCGGGCCGCTCCCTCCCCGGCCCGAAGGTAGCGGGGACCCGGACCCCAACTTCCAGCCCTTCAGACACGGCTCCCCTTGGGCACTCGACAGTCACACTCCAGCCCCTTACCCAGACTTCCCTCCCTCCGGCTCATGCTGGCCCCAGGCTGATCCCGGTTGCCTCCACGCCCCCCTTCCCAGAGGGGGAGAAGGGGGGAAAGGGCGGGGCGGCCCGGGCGCAGCCAATCAGGGCTCAAACCCCAAGAATTCCCCCCCTCTCCCGCCCCAGGCAAGATTCCTTGTCCGGGAGTCCGGGTCACCGCCTGCTGGGCCTAGTGGAGAAAGGGGCCTGAGGGGGTGTCAGGTGGTCTGCAAGGTGGATTTGGGACCTCGACCCGGGGGAGGACTGGGCCCAGCGCCGGAGAAGCCCCGCATCACGCCAGGAGGAGGAGGCTCAGGCTCCGGCCTGGGACAACGTTTGGCGCCAGGCTGCTTTTCGGAGAAAACTGGGGTTGGTTGGAGGGTGGGGCTGGCAGGACAGGAATGCGCGGCACTCTCTCTTGTCTGGGAAGGAGGGGGAGAGGGGGCTCTAAGGCTTGGGCAACACCTGCCCAGACACACTGTCCACCTCCTTTCTTAGATACGTCATGTTCTCTGCTCCCGTTGCACCTACTATGTAGCAGAGGGACAGGTTCACCAGCTCAACTCACAACCAGGCTCACACACCTGCTCTGACCGCATATAGACTTTCATTCTCACACAGGAACACGCTTCAGAGACAGTTGTGTGTGTGTGTGTGTTACCCACATGTCAACTCCACTAACCTGGTGCAGACAAAGCCCAGTCTGAGCTGGGCGCTGGGACTGGAGGTGACCCAACTCGCTTCTTGGTTCCCGAGGAGCTCCCAGTCTGATGGGGGAACATAGAAACCGCAGGTAAAGTGATGAAGGGACTGGGGAGAGGCTGTGTCTGAGAGAATATCGCCAGAATAAAGGAAGAAAGGGATTACTGGCAGAGGGCACAGCAGGTATGATGAAACCCGATTGTTCACAGGGTCCACAATCACATACTCCTTTAAAAAATATGTTTTTATTGATTTTTTAGAGAGAGAGGAAGAGAGCTAGAGATAGAAACATCAAGGAGAGCGTGAGAAACATCATTGATTGGTTGCCTCCTGCTGGCCCCCGGGGGATCAAGTTCGCAACCCAGGCTTGTGCCCTGACCAGGAATCTAACTGATGACCTCTTGATTCCTGGGTCAATGCTCAACCACTGAGCCACTCCAGCTGGGCTCACATACTAATAACAGTGAATATTTATTGAGTATTTACAACGTGCAAGGCACTGTTCTAAGAGTTACACATTTATTAACTTACCCTTGTTACAGTTGAATTAGAAACAGTGACTTACCCAGGGTGACTGGACAACCAGAGCTGGGATTTTACCCAGCAATTTGGTTCCCCAAATGCTGCCATAACCATCTTCCTATACCTTAACCTCTGTGGACCTAGTCTCACCAAAACAAAGAGACCCAATAGCCACTCCTTGTGAAATACACACACAACACACATTTAGACGTCATATATGCTGGCAAACAGACTCAAATCAACCAAGACATGCTCCTTTTAAATAACATTTTACTTTATTTAAAGAACAAACATCCAGGACTTTTTACAGAGTAAATAGGCCCAGGGAACCAGCACCAGATTAAGAAACAGGCCGGAACCAGTTTGGTTCAGTGGATAGAGCATCGACCTGCGGACTGAAAGGTCCCAGGTTCGATTCCGGTCAAGGGCATGTACCTTGGTTGCGGGCACATCCCTAGTGGGGTGTGTGCAGGAGGCAGCTAATTGATGTTTCTCTCTCATCGATGTTTCTAACTCTCTATCCCTCTCTATAAAAAATCAATAAAATATATTTAATAATTAAAAAAAAGAAACAGGCCAGGACCGGTTTGGCTCAATGGATAGAGCGTCGGCTTGGGGACTGAAGGGTCCCGGGTTTGATTCCGGTCAAGGGCATGTGCCTTGGTTGCAGGCAATCCCCAGTAGGGGATGTGCAAGAGGCAGCTGATCGATGATTCTCTCTCATTGATGTTTCTGGCTCTCTATCTCTCTCCCTTCCTCTCTGTATAAAATCAATAAAATATATTTTAAAAAAAGAAACAGAACATGGCCAGTTCCCAGAGCCCCCTCCTAACCCCTCCCAGTCCCAAGGGTGCCCCCATTCTGATTCTCACACCCTAAGTTAGTTTCGTCAGTTTGGAACTTCACACACATGGAGTCAGACAGTTTGCCTTTCTTGAGACTGGTTCCCCTTGTGGGTGTAATGGGACTTCCTTCTCCTGTGTCCAGGGTGTGCGTGGGCTACAGCTCCTATCCACTCTCCTCGGACGGGTTGTTTCCAGTCTGATTGTCACTAGTGCTGTGAGCATTCAGCACCCCTCGGGCCTCTCCTGGTGCTCATACCTAGCATTTCTGTTGGGTGCCAAGGATGTGGGAGTGGAATTGCTGCACCAAAGGGGTTTCACTAGAAAACTGCGTTTTCCAAAGTGTATCTACCAGTTTACACCCCCAAAGGCACGAGGGGTCCAGTTACCCTACTCCTTCCCCTGCCCTCAGGGCACCAGTCATTCTCATTTGGCCATTCTGTTGTTGGGCAGGTCCGTGGCACTCAGTGAATAGGCTGCTGAATGAAAGGCTGAAGGAACAGTCGGACAGTGTACACTGGGCAACTTACACACACACACACACACACACACACACACACACACACACACACACACACACACTCACGTGCGGGCGTGCGCGTCACAGGAGCGCTCACGCGGAGAACGCAGCAGGCTCAGCCCCTCCCGTTCCCGGGCCCACGTGCTCTGGACGCACCCTCGGCCCGCCGCGCGCACCGCCTCGCAGCGGCCCCAACCTCCCTCCGGGCGGCGGCAGGGGGCGCTGCGCGGCCGGCGGGGGCGGGCCGGGCCGGGGCGGGCTCGGCGGCAGGAAGCGGGCGGGGCCTGGCGGCGCGTTGGGCAGCGAGGGAGGGCGCGGCCAACTCCCGGGGGGACGGCGGGCCGAGGGAGCCGCGACCCGGCCTGGCGCCGAGCCTGAGCCCGCCGGACGGGAGGCGGCCCAGCCGCGGGCTCGGCCCCGGCCCCAGCCCCGCCAGCATGGCCGGCCGCACCGTGCGGGCCGAGACCCGGAGCCGGGCCAAGGATGACATCAAGAAGGTGATGGCGACCATCGAGAAGGTCCGGAGATGGTGAGCGCTGTCCGGGGCCAGGGGCCAGGGTTGGGACCGGCAGGGCCATGCCTCCCCCAAAGGCGTCTGCCCGCCCCTCACCAGCTGTGGCTCCGGTGTCAGGCGTGTCCCCCAGCTGCGCCCCGATCTACAGAGCTCTGTCCCCTCTGGCTGCCCCGGGTCTACAAAGGTGTACCCAGCCGTGCCCTCCAGGGCGGGAGCCCCCACCTATGCCCCGCCCCCGAGGCTTTGACACTCCTCCCTCAGTATGCCGATCCCAGGCCAGGCCCCAGCCTGGTGCCCGTTCTACTCCCCGGGGTCTGTGAGCCGTGGCCCCATACTCCGTCCCTACAGGCACCTCCATGTCTGCCCTGGCATCTGCAGGTTCTCCTTCTCCCTCTCACTATGCCCATTAGCAAAACTGCCCCTTCCCATGCACCACCCACACCTCTGAGGTGTCCCCAGGTGTGTCTAGCTGCTGAGGGAGGCTCCGCTCAGGCCTCTCTGACCTGGTCCCCCCACTCTCCCGCAGGGAGAAGCGCTGGGTGACTGTGGGCGACACGTCCCTTCGTATCTTCAAGTGGGTGCCAGTGGTGGACCCCCAGGAGGAGGTGAGCAAACTCCCCCACGCCAGACCCTACATCTGTGCAACCCGGGGCAACCCCCCCCCCCCCTCATCCTGGCCTCCGCCTCCAGCCCCCGCTCTGAGACACATGCTAATCATTATTGGCAGCTCCACCCTTCTCCTTTCTCCCCCTCCAGACCCCGGAGTTCAAGACTTCACCCAGTGTGCCCACCTCTGCCACCTCTCGCAGGCCTTTTGCTTCTCTGCACCTCAGCTTACTTATTGGTAGGGTGGGGGCTTTGCAAGCACCTCTGATCCTTACCCCTCTGATCCCCAGGAGCGACGGAGGGCAGGTGGCGGGGCAGAGAGATCCCGAGGCCGGGAGCGTCGGGGTAGGGGTGCCAGCCCACGAGGGGGTGGCCCTCTCATCCTGCTTGATCTCAATGGTATGTAGGGATCCAGTGAGGGGGCTGTGGGATTGAAGGAGGGGACTGGAACCTCAGGCCCAACCCTCTCGACGTTTCCTCTCACAGATGAGAACAGTAACCAGAGTTTCCACTCGGAAGGCTCCCTGCAGAAGGGCACGGAGCCCAGCCCAGGCGGCACCCCCCAGCCCAGCCGTCCTGCGTCGCCTTCCGGACCCCCGGAAGGGGTCCCGGAGGAAGCTCAGCCCCCGCGGCTAGGCCAGGAGCGAGGTAGGACCCGGTGCCGCCAGGAGCCTGCCTTTGAGCCTTGTCCTCTCCGAGGCTGGAGCCACCAGCTTGTCCCTGTCCCTGCTCCCCTCTTCCGGTGCCTCCTCCGAGGCCTTCCTGACTCCTGTGGAAGGCCCAGGCCTTTCTCTGATAACTTACCACTGGGATTTTCACGTAAATTTAACCTTTATTACCTAAGTGTCTTTCTTTCCCTCTTCCACCTCATGTTGGCTGCCTGAGTGTTGGGTCCATATTGATCGCGTTTGCTACTGTATCTTCAGAACACCACGTGGCACATAGTAGGTGCTCAATAAGTATTTGTTAATAAATAACAGCGCTAATATTAAGAGTAATTAAGAGATGACAGCTATAATACTTATTGAGCTCTTATTGTGTGGCACTCTCCTAAGCTTTTTACATGATTTATTTTATCTCCTTTAATCCCTACTACAACGCTTTGAGGATTATTATCACCATTTATAGGTGAGAAACTGATCGCCCAGCTCACCAGCCTGGAGCGTGAGTGCTCCTCAGCTTCTCTTTTCTCCACGTAATCAATCCCTTCTCTGGTCAGTCCCCGCTCCCAGCATCGCCTCACTCCCTCTCCCTCCCCAGGCACTGCGCTCATCTTCACCAAACTCCAGCCTCCCTTCCTCCAGTCACCCCCACATGGCCCACGGAGCGGCTTTTTCTAAAGCAAGAGTTTGAGGGGGTCCTTTTCCTGCTCATGGCCCTCACTGGCCTCTCTGGGCTCGTGTGAGCACTCCCCTCGGGACCTCATCACCCCCTTTCCGGAACATCATGACATGGGCTACGGCTGTGTCTACATTGTACTCTGGACCTTTACTAATATAAAAACCACAACTGGTGTTTAATGAGCACTTAACTGTGTGCCCCACACAGTGCTAAGGACTTTCCCCGTATTATCTCACTTAATCCTCACGACAGGTCCTGTGGTAGCTACTGTGACGACCTACATTTTACATGTGGGGAAACTGAGGTCCAGAGGAATTAGGTCACTAGCCCAAGGTTAGGATTTGAACGCCTGCAGTCCAACCCCAGAATCTGTGCTAAGTGTATGTTGCCTCTGCCTACAATGTGCTCCCTCTCCCCCTCGGCCTGGTCAAACTTACTCCCCCGTCAAGATCCCACCTACATGTCCTTCCCGGGCCTTTTCCTGGGTGCAGCCGGTGCTCATCTCCCTCCTCAGTGGTCCCCCAGCTGGGCCGTATGTGCCTGGTGTTTGCCCCCGGGGTCTGTGCTGGGCACAGAGCGGCTCTCAGGGACTGTCACCTTGCCGTTCCAGATCCCGGGAGCATTCCTGCAGGCGGCACCGATGAGCCCCCAATGCTGACCAAGGAGGAGCCGGTCCCAGAGCTGCTGGAGGCTGAGGTGAGAGAGGCCAGGAGGCTGGACTCCCGGGCCTTGGAGGGAATGGGACCCTGGGGCCTGCACTCCAGAGGTCCGGGTGGGAAACGCAGACCCCAGGCCCAGCTGAAGGCTGTCGGGTGGATTCTTGGGACGGAAAGGAAGGGGTGTTTTAGAAACAAAGTCCTGAGGGCTGGTGCAGGGCTGATCTGAGACCATGGAAAGCCTGAAAAGATCCTGGTGCTCCTCCACGCATTATTTTTTAAAATCCTAAATGAGACAATTCGCTTAAGAAAGTCCCCCCACAAAGTTGACTTCTCACAGGGTTCCCAGAAATACCAAATGTCAATTTCTCCTCAAAACAGTGTTGTTCCCAGTGCCCCCTTACTCTGCGTGCCGGGTCCCTGGCTCTGGGCCGGGAGGGGAGGGGAGTGGGGCTTCGGAGGAGGCAGAGGGGAGGAGGTGCACTCCTGGGTCCAGAAGCTCATGCCTGTCCCCCTTCCTCTCCAGGCCCCCGAAGCTTTCCCTGTCTTTGAGCCAGTGCCACCTGTCCCCGAGGCAGCCCAGGGTGACACCGAGGACTCGGAGGGTGCCCCCCCACTCAAGCGCATCTGCCCAAATGCCCCCGACCCCTGAGAGCTGGACTGTCTTTCCTGTTGCCCAGGGGCCCCTTGGATTTTTTACGAATAAAGACCTTTTTGTAATTCTGTGTCCTGTCATTCCCATTAGGCTGGGGAGGGTCTTTGGAGCCAGATAGTGTCACTCGAAGCTCTAAGAGTATCTTTCTATAGTCACACACATGAGTCAGGTATGGAACGGGGGCTGGAGCCAGGACCCTGCCTCTCTAACACTCCCTCCACCCTGCCCTGCACCCCTGACCTTTGACCCTTCCTGACCTTCAGCAGAGAAGGAATCCAGGGACTTGGGCCCAGCAGTTACCAAAGCTCTGGGCACCAAGGCCCACGATGCCCATTCGTACACAGGAACAGGGACGCCAAGAGGCGCTTTGGGGCCCGGGATGGCCCACCCCCTCTGCAGCCTCAGGAACCTCCTGCCTCTGCTCAGTCACACCTCCGCTGGAACCTGCCCACACTCTGGGCTGAGTCTTATCTGTCCCGGCTCCATCACCACCTCCTCCAGAAAGCCTTCCCTGGCCCCAGGCATCGTCGATTCCCCTTCTTTTGGGCCGGCTCTGTGCTCCCTCCCCACTGTCTCAGTCTTTATCAGGCCGTTTGGGAGGGTTGGCCTGCGTGTCTTCACTAGGTTGTGGGCTTCTGAGGGCAGAACTTGGTCCCCAGTTTTCTTAGCACCAAACTGGGCACAGAGCTGCCATAGCAACTGTTTGGTGAATGAATGAATGAATGAATGGGCTGAGGCTATCCAGGAAGGCTTCTCTGAGGAGGTGGCACGTGAGCTAAGCTCTGAGACATGAATTGTAGTCCGAAGCCCTGGTTCAAGTCCTGGCTCTGTTAGTAGCTGTGTGGCTCTGCACGGGCTATTTCCCTCCCCTTCGTTTGTTCATTTGAGCAATGGGGCGATAACCAGACCTCATCTGTCCCGGTGGTTTATGGGAACCTTCAAACAATGGAAAGCACCTTCATTCATTCTGTGCCTGCTAAAGAGTTAGGGTCAGGTGTATTAGCCCTACCTTTATATTTTATTCTTTTTTAAATCCTCTCCTGAAAATGTTTATTGATTTTAGAGGAAGGGAAAGAGAGACAAACATCCATGTGAAAGAGACACATTGGCCAGTTTTCTCCTACAGGTGCCCTGACCAGGGATCCAACTCGCAACCTAGGTATGTGCCCTGACTGGGAATCGAACCCCCAACCTCTAAGTGTACAGGACGATGCTCCAATCAACTGAGCCATCTGGCCAGGCCCAGCCCTATATTTATTTTTAGCAAAGGAGGAGACTGAGATTCAGAGAGGACCAAACTGGAACTTTAAAGAACTATTGAAACTGTAAGGGTGATTCATGACAGCAGCTGCAGCAGTAGCTGACCAGGGGCCAGGTGTGTAGTGATGCGATATATTCATTTTCTGTTGCTGCTGTAACAAAATACCACAAACTTAGTGCTAGAAACAACACAAGTTTATTATCTTACTGCCTGGAGGTCAGAAGTCCAAAATAAGTCTTAACGGGTTAGTCTGGATGTCCGCAGGGCTGGTTCCTGCCAGCGGCTCGAGGGGAGAAGCAGTTCCCTGTTGTCGTCTTCTTCTTCTTCTCCTTCTCCTCCTCCTTTTTCTTCTCCCCTCCCTCTCTCTCTCTCCTTCCATCAGCATGTCTCCTTTTTTCTCTCTCCTGCCTCCCTTTTCTGAGGACCCCTGTGATGACATTGGACCTGGATGATCCAGGATAATCTTCCCATCTCAAGGCCCTTACTTTAATCACCGCTGCAAAGTCTCATTTGGTGGGTAAAGTAACAGTCACAGCTTCTGGGATTAGGGCATGGACATCTTTGGAGGGCGTTATTCAGCCGCACCAATAATCTCAGCCATTTCCTGGTGTGGGGGTCATCTCACTATCCTCTCAGCCACCTCGTGATGTGATGAGTGCTCTGTAAACGGTAAAGTGCTTTGTGTGGGTCAGTAGTACAGCATTATGGCCCAGATTCAGGCTCTGGGTTTGAATCTCAGTGCCTCTAGTCCATCACTGTGTGACCTTGAACAAGTGACTTATCTCTGTGCCTGTTTTCCTATCTGTAAAATGGGGATAAAACTAACGTTCACCTGGAGACACTACTGGGAGGATTAAATGAGGCAATGCATAGAGTCCTTGGCGCGGCACATAGTGAGTGCTCAGTAAACTAAACGGCAGCTGTTTTTCCTGTTACCCCATTTCACAGATAAGGAAACCAGGGTTTAGGAATGGAGGCCAGAGACTTGCCTGTCAGTAAGACTGGGGAGGAGGAGTCCATTTCTGAGCAGCCTTGCAAGACTAAAGCTTGAGTCTCCCTGATTCCTGTCCTCCTGGTCCCAGCTCCCAAGCCCCAGGATCTGTTCTTTAGCCTAGGCCTATGGAACCCCTACTCCCCTCCTAGTGACCTTTTCCATGGCCACACCCTAATCACCACCTTACCATGCCCACCCAGCCCTCCCCGTGACCATACTCTCTGCTCTCCCTGTGTCACTCTTCTTCCTGATCCCTTAAATTCCTCCCGCCCTGGCCTAGCCTTCTCTCCATGGAGCTCTGCTCCCTGCTGGGTCACAGCTACCCCTTGAATCTCTGCCTCCAAGTTCTGCCCCCACCTCCAGACTCAAAGAGCAGATGCCTTTGAGACTTCTCCCTGGATGTCCTACAGACGCTCAGCTCCACCTCCTCCCAACATGTGTCCACCATCCCATGCAGAGAAGTAGCCCCCAATGCCAGGAGCTGGCTCAGATGGGAGCATTCAGAAGTCACAGTCTATGTCCCATGTGCTATCATGTCCTGTTAAGTCTCTGTTCTAAGTATCCTCCCCTTTCGCCGGGACCGGTTTGGCTCAATGGATAGAGCGTCGGCTTGGAGACTAAAAGGTCCCGGGTTCGATTCCGGTCAAGGGCATGTACCTTGGTTGCGGGCATATCCCCGGTAGGGGGCGTGCAAGAGGCAGCTGATCGATGACTCTCTCTCATCGGTGTTTCTAACTCTCTGTCTCTCTCCCTTCCTCTCTATACAAAATCAATAAAAATATAAAAAAAAAAAAAAAATAAGTATCCTCCCCTTTCGAGGGCCCCACTGTTTCTCTGTAGGTTTCCCTGCTTTACTCTTGCCCACCCCCAGGCCATTCTCCGCCCAGCATGTGGGCAGTCTCAGAAACCCGAGCCTGTTCATGCTGCTGCCCTGGGTTAGAGCCCTCTAGCTTGCAGGACCTGCAGGATGGAGCCCACACTGTGACACACCACCCTGCACAGCTCCCCTCCCAACTGCTGGCAATCGCTCCCAACGCACTGGCTGATCTTCACCTCTCAGCTTAGCTCATGCTCACTGCTCTGTCCGGAGTGCCCCTCGCATCCCCTCTTCAGCTGGCAGATGCCTTCTTGTTCTCAAATCTCTGCTTCGGGGTCTTCTTTCCTCTCATGCCCCTGCCCCTCTCCTGCCATTGCATGGAGCACTAGTTATTGTCCTGGATGGGCTGTGTGAGCCCCACTAGGGAGGGGAATTCCGTTATTCATAGCACCATGTATTGTGGCTGTTTGCTGGGTACTTTTCTATGCCCTGGGGATACAACATAAACAAAATAGAAAAAAATCCCTGCCTCGTGGAGCTTACTTTCAGCAAATTATATCATATGTAGGAAGTTATAACTACTTTTTAAAAAACAGAGTAAGGAAGATGGGGAAAGAATGGATTGCAATTTAAACAGGAAGCTCGGGACAAGCTTCACTGAGAGACCTCTAAAGTAAAGCTTGAAGGAGGTGAGGGAGAGAGCCATGCAGATATGTGGGGGAAGAGAATCCTGGGCAGATGGAACAGCCAATGCAAAGGTCCTGAGGGGGAGCATGCCTGAAAATGAGGTCAGTGTGGCTGGAGCCGAGGGAGGGAGGGAGGAGACTGAGAGGTATGGTGGAGGGAAATGAGGTCAGGTCACAGAGGGCCTCGTAGGCAAGGCAGGCACATATTCTGTCACTCAAACTTTGAGAATAAAAGAGGATGATGCATTTATAATCATGCCCAGATAACAGGTAAAGCCTGGGATAACCAGAATGTACTGTCATTCTGTTGGAGGCTATTGTCAGGGCTCTGAGTTTTACCGTGGAAGAGATGAAGAATTATTGACGGCGTCGGAGCAGAGGATGACATGATCAGACTTATATTCCTCCCCCTAATATTTTATTATAAAAAGTTTTAAACATACAGCAAAGTTGGAAGGATTGTACAGGTAGCACCCATACACTCACCACCTAGATGCTAACATTTTACTGTATTTGCTTTATCATAGATCCATTTCAAAATTAGTTGCAACAGTACACTTTCCTTTAAACACATCAGCATAATACTTTAGTTTCTCTTCAGATGGTATAAATCTTTCGCCTTTTAAACACATCAACATATTAACTAGAATTCAGTATTCTTCTATATAATAAAAGATTAATATGCAAATTGACCAAACAGCAGAACGATCACTCGCTATGCTGCGCACTGACCACCAGGGGACAGACACTCAATGCAGGAGCTGCCCCCTGCTGGTCAGTGGGCTCCCATAGCCAACCTCCTGCAGTGCCCTTCACCAGCTGATTGCCAGCCAGGCCAAGGGGCCCCACCTATGCACAAACCAGAGGCACTGGGCCTCTAGTTTACTTAAAAGTTTGTTTTTCTTTTCTGTTGAGGCAAAATATCCATATAATGAAATGCCCAGTTACCTGAATGTTTCCATCAGTTTCATCACAGGATACATCTGCATAACACAAGCCCTTATTAAATACATCGCTATCTTTCCCCAATTCCTTTTGTCCCTTCCTGTTGCCCTTGTCCCCCCTCTCTGTCCCAGCTTCCCAGAGGCAACCGTTGTTCTGGTTTTGGTTTTGACTAGGTTAACCTGTTCTAGTTCATATGCATGCACTCATTTGCATCTGTTCTCCTTCACTCAGCATGATGTATTTGAGAGGCATCCATACTGTAGCTTGGATCCTTCTGTCCCTTTCTATTGCACG